CACGTGGCTGGCCTTGTACGTAAGAGGTTATGAACAGGTGGAGCTTTCCTTACCTCCTTCCCCTTCCCCTTTTTTCCTTTTCCTTTTTTCTTTTCCCTTTTTTGCGCTCTGATTCACAATGTGACAATATATTATCCAGTCTGCAATAACTATTTGTTTTGTCCTTCGGGACATCCGTTAAAATTGGAGCGATACAGAGAATGAAGATTAGCATGGCCCCTGCACAAGGATGACACGCATAAATCGAGAAATCGTCCAAATCATTTAAAAATATATATATATATATATATATATATATATATATATATTTTACATTCTTAGGATTACGGGGAAAAAAAAAAAAAAAGTGGTAATAACGAGATATAGACCTCTCTACCTCTATGCACATACTTGCGCTCAATCGGCGGAGTGATGAGCGGTTGCAATTCGGCCGCCTCCTCCCGCCTAGATGACCGGGCGGAATCCTCCGTGTGACACATGTCACACTGTGGAGTACAACACGTGGCGCAAGGACACGCTCTTCCTTTTTCATCTCCAGACACGGCATCCTCTTCAGTGCTTCTCCGATCGGTATCCCTTTTGTCCATATCCGGTGCTCTGTCGCGACTGATGCAGTCGGGACAGGTCGGATGATCCTCATCTTCTATCGCTGTTTCATCACCGGATCGGGATCCCGTCATCGACCTTCGTACCGTCACTTCGTCCATCCCAACAGTACACGAGGCGCGAGGTCGATTTTCTGCGGACGTCATCGTTATCCTGCTGTCAGTTATACTCAACTCCAACGTCTGAAAGCACAATATTTTTTTCAAAATCGATTTCACAAAAAAAAAAAAAAAAAAAAAACTGATCGAGTTCTTTTAGTTTTGTTTCTTTTGTTTGGACTTTTTCTTTTTTTCCTTTTTTTTGGGGATAATATGCAAGATACCCCCATAAGTTGAGATATATGCGAAGTTGGACGGTACCCGGGAGGGATATATTGCAAAGATGGGGGGTGCAACCGTCGCTACTGTAGGGGTATTTGTCAGGGGGCGGGCATTCCGCTCCACCCACATCTTTCAGGGGCATTTTGGCATATATCTCAACTAAGGGGGGAATTTTGCAAATTATGTTTAATTATCCCAATAGAAGACCAAAAATAGAAAGAAAAAAAAAAATCATTGCACGTCAATCCCTTCCATCTGCCGTGTCACTCTTTTAAATTGTTATCCGCACCCTCCTCACCCCTCTCCTTTCTCTCTTCCTCCCTGCCATGACCCCACCCAAAAAGTAGGCACAAAGATGATAGGTCGAGCCTTTTTCTTCCAATAAACTGATTTACAAAAAAGAAAACAAATTGGCCGCCGCGGGGGTACCACGTGGGAGAGAGAGGGAAGGGAGAGAAGAGGCTGATAGCCCACAAAAAGTCATCTGTAGAAAGGCCGGCATGCGAGCAACGCACACATTCAGTCCAATAGAATACGTTTGCGAAATAGGAAAGGAAGAGAGGGAGACGGAGACGGAGATAGCATACAAGGTGTCATTTGTACAGGAAGGAGAGAGAGAGAGAGAGAGGACATGGGTCGAGAGAGAGAGAGAGAGAGAGAGAGAGAGAGAGAAGAGGCAGGTGGGTGGATCGCGATCGACGGATGCACAGTCTACACGAATCGGGATCGGTAAGAATCGAGAGATGGACAGAGGAGATGGATCGGGATAGACAGACACAGACAGACACAGACACAGACACAGACACAGACACAGAGAGAGAGAGTCAAAAAGAGAGACACAGAGAGAGAGGGGCTCCAAACGGGGCAGCTCTTGATGAGTCCGGGAGAGGCGGCAGGTCTCGACAGACAGCTTTGCGAAATGGGTTGTGTCTTTATACTTCATAAAATGGTCGCAATGCTTCGGACCAGGATAATTCTCCATGCCCTCTCTCCGTCTCTCTCCCCCCCCTCTCTGCTGCCGTGGAATGCCAGTTTTGCTTTCTTTTTTACATTTCCGTAATAACATATATCAATCAATCAATCAATCAATCAATCAATCAATCAATCAATCAATCAATCAATTAACACCGGCGTAGGGTGGAGAGCCCCTTGGTGCGCGGGCACGGATGAGGGGTCGACTGGAGGGGGAGAAGGGATCAATGTGCAAGGAGGAAGACGTGGGCGCAGCGCGGCATGGTGACCGTGTGTCTGCTGGAGCTGATAGGCAATCTCCCGGAGATCGCGGAAGCAGGCAGATCAATGGACCACCTGGGTTCCTTCTGATTGGATATGCCAACTGAATCTGAACGCTCCTCTATCTCCTATGTGTGGATGTTCGATCTCGCATAGATGTCTGTCAAAAGACCTGCCGGCTCTCTCCTCCACTAATCAAAGGCTGCCCCATTGCGAGCCTCTCTCTCTGCCTCTGTGTCTGTGTCTGTCTATCCCGATCCCGATCCCGACCCATCTCTCTGTCCATCTGTCGATTCTTACTGATCCCGATCCGTGTCGACTGTGCATCCGTCGATCCCGACCCACCCACCAGCCTCTTTTCTCTCTCTGCCCACTACCAATCTCGACACCGACCCTCCATTCACACTCCAATGCCTCCATGCCAGCGTGGCCTCTCTCTCTCTCTCTCTCTCTCTCTCTCTCTCTCTCTCTCTCTCTCTCTCTCTCTCTCTCTCTCTCTCTCTCTNCTCTCTCTCTCTCTCTCTCTCTCTCTCTCTCTCTCTCTCTCTCTCTCTCTCTCTCTCTCTCTCGCTCGCTCGCTCGCTCGCTCGCTCTCGCTCTCGCTTGCTCGCTCTCGCTCTCTCCCCCTCCCTTTCCGCCCATCTCCTCTGTCCGTCCGTGGATCCTGACCGATAGCGACACGTGGAGTGTGGCTATGACCGAGGGCGGCGTGGGTGCAGCGCGGCATTATGGCCACAATAACAACTATGCGATTGATTGATTGCAAATCAAACACGTACCGATAGGATGATGGGATCTGTAGTAATCAGCCAAATTGGCATATTACCGGGCGATGGATGAGGGTATGCTATCAAGAGCTAGGAGGAAAAAGAAGATAGAGGAGCGTTCAGCTTCAGTTGGCATATGCAAGCAGAAGGAACCGTGGGGCAGATAGAGAGAGAGAGAGAGAGAGAGAGAGAGAGAGAGAGAGAGAGAGAGGGTACGATCACATCAACGGTGAATGGCGGCGGTGTGCAGACGGTCGGCCGATAGCGAGACACAGAGAGCACGGTTGCGTCTTGATGGACAGTCCACATGGGTCGGCATGGATGCTACTGAACATGGACTGATGGACAGCCGCGCGCGCGCGCGCGAGAGAGAGAGAGAGAGGCAAGGTTGCATTGAGAGTGAATGGAGGTTCGGGCTATGATGATTGCAGGGTACTGCTACGCAGTGATCACATCAGCGCAGAGAGATGAAACAGGGAGATGAACGAAACATACCTTCGCACGGTCGTTCCGGATGCTTCGGGCCTGTGCATGTGTGGGGATGATTGCACGTCCCCGTGCTGGTTGCCAAAGAATCACTCGGGGCACTCGGGGCGCTCGGGGCTCTCGAGCGTCGGGGTCGGGGAGGGGGACTCACTCGCGGCGCTCGAGCGTCGGGGATGTAGACGTGTCGGGGCGGGGCCACATCCACAACCCGCTCCTCAAATCGACCGATCCACTCCAGATACTTTGGGCCCATTTTGCGTCCATGTTTCTGGCCTTCGGGCCGTTTCTATATGCACGTTTCGGGTGTACGTCCTCAAACTGCTTATCGACTAAGAGGGGCCGAACGTAATCTTTCTTTGTTTGACAAATTGCTGAAATGCCCCTGAAAGTTTGGGTATTTAGGCAGATATGGCCAAATGCGAGTAGTAAAACTTTACGAAATACCCTACTCGCCAATTGGACCTGTCATCTTTCGCATATACCCCTACCAGGCCTTGTCAACTTGTCAACATGCCCCAGTACTTTAGGCCGTTCGACCCTGCAGACTGCAAAACAAATGCACTGGCCCAGGGCCAGGGCATATCGAAGTGGCATACTTGCACTTTCTTGGATGTATCTTTCTCGAATCAGGCCCAGGTGAGGCGAAGGCCCAAGTACCTCCGCCGTACTGGGCCGGTAACGCCCCCAATGCAAAAATGGTGGAAAGTCATTTTCGGACCTGCCGCACACTTGCACTCTCTTGGATGTATCTTTCTCGAATCGGGCCCAGGTGAGGTGAAGGCCCAAGTACATCCAGCCCGTCCTGGGCCGGTAACGCCCGCTATGCAAAAATGGCGGGAAGTCATTTTCGGACCTGTGACACACTTGCACTTTCTTTGATATATATTTCTTGAATCGGGCCCAGGTGAGGTGAAGGAAGTGCGGATGCGAGTATGCTATGCCCATTCGAATGTACCGAACCCGAATATCGCCCACGTACAACTGGGTTGGCTGGCGGCTGGAAATTCAAAGTGACTACCGGAACGGGAACTTGAGCCTTGGCTATCAAGCTGCTGTGGCCTCAGACCCGGTCTGAGGCCCTACCGGCCTCAGACCGGGGAGCAAGAATAACAGAAAAGTTATTGGGGGACCTCAAATGCAGAAAGTCCATTTTGGGGAGAAATCGATACAAAGGTTTTGTCATGGGGTGCTTCTATAACTTTTCCCAAAAAATGAATATAGGACGAATTGGCGTGGTGTTTAGTTAATGATCTTACATATTTTTTTAATTTTTTTAAATATTTTTTGTAGAAAGATCACGACCCAGTCTACAGGCCTATCAATTTTCAGAGTTGTGGAGTTATCCTTCTGAACGCAAAAAATCGCGGAAGTTGGGGTACTTTTCCCTTTGGCCAACACGTGCAAGAATGACAAAAATTGACAGTGCAACTAAACGGCGCGGCATTTATTTCACGGTCTATTTTTTTTTTATTGTTTTTTTTATATTTTTCCTGGAAAGATCACAACCTAATCTACGGGATCTCAAATTTTCAGAGTTTTTCCGCAATTCGTCTGAGCGCGAAAAATCGTTAGATTTGGTGCTTGAAAATTGCGGGACTGGACCCGCCTGCCACACTGTGCAACGTTAGGGTTTGGACACAGGCACATTCTGACCTGTCAGCTGCC